TATCGAACCAACTAACAATGCGATCTTTTTACATCAACTAGATCTAAAACTAACTTTGATAAAAATCCACAATAACATGATTTCTCGGATTCCACCACCTAAATTAGGAAAGTATATTCTTGTCAGGGTGAGACAATTTGAGTGTCGGCCTATCACGACCTTAGCATGCATAACTAAGTCTCCTATGGGATTAACTCGTTGATTATCCTCTAAAATTTATGCTCCTTTTAATACTTAGTTAGGGGTTATGGCCTCCAACCTCTTGCCTTACTCACTACAAGAAAATCACGATTTTGCGACGGTTATATGACCTACATTGCGACGGTTAAAACTGCTGCAAAGACAACATTGCGACGGTTTGGGAACCATCGCAGAATTCTCCGTCACAAGGAAATTTTGCGACGGTTATCAGAACCGTTGCACAAACCGTCGCAAAATAAAAAGTCCTTTAAAATCCTAATCCAATACACCCCCCTAATATTACAAGTTCCACATATTGAATTAATTAAAAATTGATTTAAAATCATGTTAAAAATAAAAAATTGATCATTATTTTAAAATGACCAATTTAATTTAAAAATGTAAAAGATAAAAGATTAAAATAAATATAAAATAATAAAATAAAAAATCAAAAGTTTAATTTAGCTTTTTTTTAACTATAGCATTTGATAAAAAATATTTATTACTAAGTAGTAATTAATTCATTTTATGATTGTGAGTGGATATTTTTCTTTTAATATTATAGAATCTTTTTTGTTTACCAACATATATTTTTAGATTGATAATTAAAAATTAATTTGTGTTATCATATATGAAACCAAACATTATTTTAATTGTAATATATTAATCTATAAACGAAAGATAATTCCTTGAAAATAAAAATAATAGAAATTTTTTTTTACCGTTTTGATAATTAGTAAATATTTTATTTATTATATAAATATACATGTTACAAAATTTTAAACAAATATATAATCAAATTAATTTAATTTGTATATTTTAATTAATAATAAAATATAAATGTAACTATTTTTGATTAAAAAATATAATTTAATTGATAATTTTAATAAATATTTATTTAATAGTAATGTTTGTTAAAACATTTACAGATTGATTAAAAATTAGTAAAATATTTTTTTAAAAAAATTAATTATAAGTAATATTTAGATAATACTACAAGAAATGTTACATATAGTGACATATAAAAAGTGTGACTATAGGTACAATATATGTAGGTATATATTTATTTGACATATAGTTATACACAATTTTAGTGTTGATTTTGAATGAGATTTAACAACATATTTTGCGTGTCACTATAGTCTATACCCATACTTTTTAATAATATACCAACAAATATTGTAGTTATTTTGTGGATAAAAGTAATTTTTAGCGACATATATAATTTCACTATAGGATGTGTATCACTATATGACAATTTTCTTGTAATGTTGATATGAAATCTTATAAGTAAAATAATGAAAATACATAATTACCAAAGAAATAGAAAAGTATATGTTGCTCACTTTCAAGAATAACAATTAAAAATAAAAATAATTAAGAATCGAAATTCATTAAAAAATGTAATCTAAATACTATACATATACATAAAGGAAATACATTTTTGGTAACCATTTTTTGATTTTTATTTTTATATAAATCCTTTATTCCTTATTTATTTATTTATTTTTCATTTTACTATGCAAGTAATTACTCGCAAAATATTTATTTTTAATATAGAAAATCTATACTAAATAAGAGAATACTCTTTTTAATAATCATTTTTTATTTTTATTTTTATTTTTATATATACTTTTTTTCCATTATTATTATTATTGTTATTATTATTATTATATACATATATTATTTTACTCATGATATATATATTTTTATTTTAAATGTAGAAAATAAGTTAACATAATTAATGCTTATTTATTTTAGTTTTAGTTTTATTTTTCAATAAAAATACAAAATGTTTCTTTTTCTACTAGTCTATATTATATATAAAGAGATATATATTACCCTTTGGTTTTCACATATTTTAGACACTATACCTCTTTATATTCTTTTTTTCACTATCATATCTCTTAAGGGTATAATAGAAGTAAAAAAGTAATTATTCATTTTATCAATAATAACTATCCTTTTATTTTGTAATTACCTTTAATCTCCAAAATTATTTAAGATTATTATACTCTTTTCTAATTATTAGTTTTTATTTTATATTATTTTAAAATAAAATACATAGAGTTAACTCCTCTAATCTTCTATAACAATATATAAAAGGAAAATATTCATCATCAACAACTTTTGATCTCTACTTCATTGAAACAATTTTACTCTTTTCTTTCACTTTTACATAATTTCTGATTCTTAAAATCTTAAATCAAACTAACTCTTTTTCTATCGTAATTATTGTCATAATATATTAAATTAAATTCATTTTTTACATTTTATTTTTTATTTAAATAAAATACATAAAGACATAAAATACTTTAACCTCACTAATATTTATATATAAAAAAAAACACTCCACCAAATATACACTGAAACTAGCAACTGCAGTCTTTTTTTAAGATCGTTGATCGAAGATTTTCAGCTTAGTTTCCCCATAAATATTTACTCAAGAAAAACTGTGAGTCGAGTAATAATCTTCTCTGAAAAGTCCATGCTACCATTAATGCATAATTATGTCTGGTTGTAGTGAAATTGCAAATAAATTGAAGAGAAGGAAAAAGAAATTCTTTCAAAAGAACATTTGTTGTTGATGTAAATTTCAGAAGAACATTAATTATAAGAACGGGAGAAAATTAAACAATTGTTTACAGTGAAATTCGTTTTATGGATTCTTTTTACTCGGACTAGCACAAAAAACGGTTTCAATTTAGGTATTTGATTTAATTCGATTTAAAGACAAAGAACGTAGAAGGAAGAGTTAATAATTACTGGTTTCTAGATATTCATAAATGATTATCAAAAAACAGTGTTCATGAGCATAAATGCTTAAATAAACAGAATGAACAACAGATATACTTTCTATGCAAATCATGGTTCATAATATCCAAGCATTACAATATTGTCAGAATTTACATAATTGGAAACTAAGTGATTACAAGAAATAAGAAGACTAAACTAATCCTAATCTAGAAAGGAAAAAAGAAAAGGGGTCAAGAAGCAACCATACCCAAAAACGATTCTATGCACGGAAGCCATATGCGCAAGCAGAGAGTGCTTCAGAGCTCTATTCAAGTATGAGTTTTTCCGACCTCGTGAAAGGCCAAACTTTGCCTATTTATAAAAATTCTCGAGAGCAGTTATCTTTCGTATGCATGCGTCGTGGGTGTGTAACCGCTCTCCATATCAGATACGTGATCTAAAGCATAACTTCCCATAACCGTTCTTTCCACGTGTTTTAAACCTTTTTGATTTACTTTTTTACGAACTGCTCCGTTTCGACTCCAACTCTTTTTGGAAACCTGTAGTAACCTCCTTTGCTTATTTTCGAGTGTTTCTTTCTCAGATTTGGCTTTCGAGCGTAAATAATTGAGACCCTTGGTACACTCCCGATAGATGTTGTTCGAGTAGCTTTCCCAAAGCACAAACACCCCTTTTTCGAATCATACGATTTTCGAGTGACCCTAACAACAATCGCAGATGAAATTGCTGTATTTGGTTAGAAATTTGTACCTTAAAATTTTCCCATTGCTTGGAATTCCATTTTTGTTCATCTACGTGGGGTTAGGTGTGTATGTAGTCGTAAAATTCACAGATCATATTCATATTATATTAATATAATATAATATAAATTATTTTAATGCACCAAATCTTCCCCAACACTCCCATTTTAAGACTTTTTAAAACGGGACTTCAAGTGTCACAAATGCATTCTGAAAACTTTTGTACACATCATTGAAACATATTTTATGAAATCATACCAAAACGTGCGAAAATTCATTGATGTCTGAACTTGAGAGAATTGATTGATCAGTTGGTGAATTAATTGAAATAGGTGGAGGGTGTTATTAAGAAATTAGTGTAGCTTAGTGACGAAATTAAATGATATAGGATGTGTTTATTTAAGTTATATCCCTAACTCTAAATTTCGGTTGAACCAAAAAGTTATCTCACAATAATTTGCAGTTCGGAGGATTTTATTTATTTATTTATTTATACAAACATACTTTTAGTGCTAGCGGTTTATAAATGATAAATATATGGATGAATTGAGTTGAAAGTTGTTCTAATTTAATTAATAGTCTTAAATTTGAGTTCTATATATACAATTGTATTAAATATTTAAAAGAAAAATTTTACGATCCATAATGATCATACTAAATTAGAATAAAATCATTTTTGATAAAAAAAAGTTACTCGTAAGTGAAAAATTAAGGAAAGTTTAATTTCTTTTAAGACAAAATTAAATGATTTAATAGTTCATATTACTTGCTTATAAGATAAAAATTAGAGGAAATTTAACATCTTTTTAAGAAACCATATGTATGTATTTATTATTGGAAGTCATTATACTTGAGTTTGTGTTCTTAATTAAGCTGAAACAACTTCACTAATTAATTTATGTGCTTCTGCTGGCGTTTGTTTCTTTAAATTTTATTCTATAGTGCCTAAGATCTAAGACTGTCCCAAGAATAATATGCACACATTCTTTCATTTCTATTTTTCAATTATTTTTTATGGGTCAATTCTACAACTTCTTGGTTGAACAAAGTTATTGAAAATTTTAGAGAATTTGAAAGTATCCCAAATTAGGGTAGCCCAACTTATTTTACACAATTCGGCCCAAATAACCTATTTGTTGAGGCTAATTCATTGGGCTTGGGTAGTTCGTTATGGCTGTTAATTTTTTTTAAAGAGCATGGTCCAACTAAAGAAAAACTAATCGATTTGGATCAATTAGGCCAATTTGACATTTTCACCTATGCATCAATTTTGTATTAGGACATGATACATATACAATATATATAGTTTATAAAACAACTCAGTAAATAAAATAAATGTTTCATCATCTTAAGCTCACTGTTTTGTTGTTAAACAACAGGGTCAAATCAAATCAAACGCACAAGCTACAAAAAGTATCACTATGCTTGCTTTTCAAATCTCCTACCCAACTACATCATCATCTTAAGAATTACAACAATGTTCCTAACTAACTAAATAAATGAAAAAAAGTTTGTGATCTTCAATTGGAGGGAACATGGTAGTATTTCCCTTTGCAAATGCATCGGTATACAATGGGACATGACTCTGCAATGGAGCACTTGAAACTGACCATGACCCTCTTGCAAGGGTAACATGGTCCACATGCATGGGAACAATCTGGTATAGTGGAGCCAGTTGGGTAGAGTTCCATTCCCATGTTGTCTTCCTATGAAATCACAAAGTAGGTATACAACATTAATTACTCATTTAATTTGTTGACCAGTTACCTACCACATTACACACCACTCATCTTTTCATATCATAGTTTTTTCCACCAACCCCTACTTTGCCTTTTGTGGTAAAAAGATGAGAGTATAATTCAAATTTTACTCTTTTCTTATTGTTATAGAATAGTGGCTGTATAAATTGTATGAAAGTGATTTCCCAGCATAATAAAGAGGAGTGCTTTTAAACTTTTCCACATGTTTTAATACAATTTTTTTTTCTTTTAATAGTTATATTTTCTTGTGTGAAGTATTTATCGACTTTTTTTTGTAATTAATTTTTATTAAAAAATTTGATCGATTAGTTTTAATGGAGTCTTTTTTGAATATTTTTTTTATCTATAAAATTTGAACTTGAAACGAATAGTTAAGAAAATTGAATTTAGTTTCACTCCAACCAATAATTTATTACTAGACTTTTTATTATTTATTAAAATTTATTAAAAAATATAAAATTACGAATGAAACTCATTGAAAAAGAAATGACAATTTCATAATTTTATAATTTTTAATAAGTTTTAAGATAATTAAAATTATGCTTAATAAAACAGTGTGTTGTGGTCGATATATATAACTATTTAAGTAATTATTGAAATAATAAAGGATGAAATTGATGGTTTATTTAAAGTAATGAAGTGATAAAGAGAACGAGGTAGAGTTGCTATTATTGTAATTTGATTAGAAAAGTAAGGAGTGATTTGATTTCAGAAAACATTTATATTTTAATTTTATTTATAAAAGTTTCATATTGTTTTTAATTTTTGTCTTTAAAAAGTTGTATAGAAATTAATAAAAATAACTTATATTGTTTTGAGATTTTTATACAAATATTTAATAATGGGAATCAACGTAAAATTAATTAATGCCATAATTTATAATTAAATAAAAATAAAAAATGAAAACAAACTACTTTTCCAAACCAAATCATCCTTTAAGAATTCATATTCTTAAATCTTTATATATATATATGATTTGCACACTAGAGTAAATTAAACAACTCCAATGGAACAAAATAAATAAATAAATATGGACCAACGGCCAATGTTAACCAAGAAAAAAATTATTCCCACACAATAATGTAACTCACAAACCTTCTTATCTGCTACTTTATCTTCTTGCAAGCTGACCAACTTAGCTGCAAATAGGAGAAAAACACATAAAACATCAAACAAAAGTCTATATTTTCATAACATAATAATTCGTAAGTGAGATTATTAAAGCAACGATTCATTTCTTACCCATAAAAATTATAATAATATCAACAAAGTTTGAATTAAAGACTTTATATATATTATTCAAACTCTCTACTACTAGACTAATTATAGTAATTTTCACGATACATTACTTTTAAGCTTTCTTGAAAAATTCATCTGATTTTAGAATATCAAAACTGATGCATGGATAATATATAGTAATTATATTAAGAAATTAGTACTTGAACATGTTTTAATCTCATTGAACTATACTAAACATTCCTAGTGGGATATATAACACTTTTGTTCTTGTTGTTTAAGCTATTCTAACACATGCATAATTATTAAGTTAGGTAAAGAAAAATAACATTATATTACATATACTTACCATGATTTGGGATCACCCTAAGGCTCCAACTAATAGAAAAAAGAGTGAAGAAAATCACAACTAGGAAAGATTTATGGGTTCCAAGCAAGAAAGTACTCATATTTGCATCAACGTACAAACTCAAGTAACTTATTGGAGTCAGTTTTCATTAGTAGAGGAAAAAGCAAGCTAGTGAGCAAAAAGCATGAAGATGAAGGTGTACTTTGGCAAGTTTCCTTGATGAGTAGTAGAATCTGTGTAGAATTATATACATGGAGAACCTTAGGGTTCACATTAAATGTGCAATGTGGTACATTGCAGCATTTCACATGATGCACGGCCTTGTATTAAAGGTTTCACAAGTTTTGGTGAGTCCCCAGAAACGAAATTGAAAAAACAATTATCACCATCATAAACTATAAATGAAGAGCATATTTTTGAAATTCAGTAGTAACTTCTAACCCTTTTGATATGTGTACTAGTAAAAAGGTTTAATTTGTAGTAGACCAAACAGATTGGAAAGTCTTCTGCCATGCACGCACGGTTTCACCAATCAGAGGAAAGGGAAGAAGCAGAATTATTTTATTTTATTTATTTATTTTTAAATTTTATTCATAAAAATAGTTGTTTGAAATGTGGCATTATTTTTTACTTTTTATTTTTCATAGTATTGACACTATATTTACTATTGGAAATATTGTCTAATCTTGGTTAGAGATCCTAAAAAGTATATAAGATGAGTATTCTCTTTTACATATTCAAAATTTGAATTTAATCTTAAACAACTTAGTTAAAGATACAAATTGTTACTATGCAATATTGATAAATATAACATTAATTAAAACAAATTGAAGATAAATATGACATTAATCGAAACATTTAGATAAGTGAGAAAATTGAAGGGGTAAAAAGACTTATATATGAACCTAGTAACGTGCAGACATCTGAAGGAAAAATTGGATGTTCCAGTAAAAACCAACCTGCTGAGATCTGAATATATTTAATTTGTCATGAATCCTACAAGATTCAAAAATTTGATTGGTAGGTATGTACGGATTTGAATGAATTTGTGCCCATTATTAATGTGTGTCTTCTTTTAATAAAACTTTTTAAATTAAAGAACATAGCTTGCGCAGCAGGGATGGCACAACATGAATATTATTACTATTACAGAGGGCGCCAACAGTATGTCTCAGAGACCAACAAAATTTCAACTTTTGAGAATTATTATACAAATTGTAAATAGTATTGCTTAGTGAAAGTTATTTATTTTATCGAATTACTCCCACCATTTTTTTTATGTTTAAGATTTATACATAGTAATTAAGAAAATAATTTATATTTCAATTTTTGAAAATATTTATTATTTATTTTCCTATTATATTCTTTTGATGGTTAGAGAAGAAATAGGTACATTAAAAATAAATAAATATACTATTTAGTAAACATACATTGATTATTAAGGATAAAAATGAAAAAGAAAATTAATAAATAATTAATTTTAGAAAAGTGACAATGAAAATTAAAAGAAAAAATAGTGTCAAAACTTCTATGAAAAAAAACGGAGGACGTACTATTTATATATATATATACGCGAAGAAGAATTCTTTTATTCCAGGAGTAAATTTACCTAAACTTATTCCGTTCAATAATTCATGTTCTACATTAAATTTCAACGATCTAACTGTTCAATTTAAAGTTTTTAATGTATAGATCAAATATGCAAATTTTTAAAAAATTTGAAAATCATTTGATACTTCATTTCATTAATTCATAATAATATATAAAATGATTTTATGATTATCCTTCAATTTGAATTAATGAAATGAATTATCAAATGATTTTTAAATTTTCTAAAAATTACAGATTTGATCTATACATTAAGAACTTTAAATTGAACGGTTGAATTGTTAAAATTTGATGTAGAACATATATATATATATATATATATATATATATATATATAAAAGAAAGTTATTAAGCAAACCTTATGTGAAATTAATACCTGACTTGAGTTCTCCAAAATAGAATCTATTCAAATAATTAGATATGTTTTCTGGAAAAAAAATATATTAAAATTCAGTGATATAGTTTTAATACTTTTCATATAAGAGAAAAATGAAAGTGTTCGAAGCGGTATTTCATTTTGTGAGTTATATACTTGCGTCCATTAATTATTGACACGGTACAACGTTGGCATGGTTAGACTTGAATATGTATCAAAGTTAATTTCTTTTAAAATAAATTAGATAACTTGGATATAATAAGGTAAAATGATAGTAGAATTATGTGAAACGATATATTGTATTACAGTAAAATACTTTATCTCTTGTCAATTTTGTTTTATAACGATTCGTCATCACTATACATTATAATAATTTAGTAATTAGCAATGAAAATATAATTTAATTACTAATATTAACATATAAGTAATTTTTAGATATACATTTAACATTTATACACATATATCTACAATAATTCCAACTGAATGTATGAAAATCGCTCTTGTCAGTCAAATAATATCTATCAACTAGCTACACAAGAGTAGCCAAAAATTAAGCATATCTACATTGTCATTTGTGAGAATGGTTTCAAAGGTACTACTCTTCCAACTTATCCCTACCTTACTCTCATTCCTAGTACATCATTGTAGTCTCACCCACGAAGAACTATGCAAGGGTAAGTTAGTAGTTCAAAATAGTCAACAAGTATAGAAGAATTATCTAACTATTTTACAACATCAACATGTAAACCACCCAACACAACCTCTCATGACTTTCAACTTTTCCAACATAGGAGAACATCAAGTTGACATTCAACTTCCATTTTAAGATAAACTACTTAAACACATCATAATAGCTTTAATTCACATCACAATAGTGCAACACATCAGTAATACAATATAGTATATGAACAATACAATCCAATCCACACATTATATGCACAACACAACAACTATATGCGCCGTCACATATTCAACTAAGAAATCTCTTATAATATAAGTGAACAGTCTAAGTGGCATAATTCTATCGAACCAACTAACAATGCGATCTTTTTACATCAACTAGATCTAAAACTAACTTTGATAAAAATCCACAATAACATGATTTCTCGGATTCCACCACCTAAATTAGGAAAGTATATTCTTGTCAGGGTGAGACAATTTGAGTGTCGGCCTATCACGACCTTAGCATGCATAACTAAGTCTCCTATGGGATTAACTCGTTGATTATCCTCTAAAATTTATGCTCCTTTTAATACTTAGTTAGGGGTTATGGCCTCCAACCTCTTGCCTTACTCACTACAAGAAAATCACGATTTTGCGACGGTTATATGACCTACATTGCGACGGTTAAAACTGCTGCAAAGACAACATTGCGACGGTTTGGGAACCATCGCAGAATTCTCCGTCACAAGGAAATTTTGCGACGGTTATCAGAACCGTTGCACAAACCGTCGCAAAATTGGAATTGCGACCCCTGAAGCACCCGACGCACTAACTGCCTCTATATTAACATTGCGACCCTTTCATCAACTATCGCACCAACTGCCTCTAAATTAATATTACGACCACTTTTTTACCCGTTGGAAATTATAATTTTTTTTAATTTTAATAAATTTATTAATGTAACAATCCTCATATTTGGCCTCTCAAGGGTTCTATTTCACGACATTTCAATGTTTAGCGTGTTTTTATCTACATGTTAACCAAGGTCACAATACCCATTTAACAATCTCAGGCCGTGCTCACCCGTGATATATAACACTGTGCCAAGGTCACGTTATCCCTATCCCAGGGCCGTGCTCACCCCTGACATGTTAACCAAGGTCACGATACCCATTTAACAATCCCAGGCCGTGCTCACCCGTGATATAACACTGTGGCAAGGTCACGTTATCCCTATCCTAGGGCCGTGCTCACCCCTGACATGTTAACCAAGGTCACGATACCTACGTAACAATCCAGAGTTGTGCTCACCCCTGATATAACACTGTGCCAAGGTCACGTTACCCCTAACCTAGGGTCGTGCTTACCCCTGATATGTTAACCAAGGTCACGATACTCACGTAACAATCTCGGGCCGTGCTCACCCCTGGTCATAGGTGTGAAGAACCACAATCACATCTCATTCACATTCCACACGACATCTCATAATTCAATTCCATACGCACATCTCAAGCAATTCACATCTAAGTCATCAATTTTTATCAAGTAATATAGCAATAATATTCATAAATTAATATAATAATCAATTTTAATACAATCTTAACATAAA